GACGAAACACAATAAATGCAGTTGATGCTTTCGGAGATGGATGCTGCTGTTTGGAAATGCAGACTTTTAAGACAATTATACAGAAATACTTAGATGACAGATTTGCTCAGGCATTTCAGAACGAACATAACAACATTTCAGATGCTGTGCAACGAGATCGGTCCGCTGGTTAGTAAGGTTATGCCGTCCCATCGTGCAAACTCGCTTGACTTTTTTGATGCGCATGGTGAAATTTATTGTTTTGGATTGAAAGGATAAAAAGTTAATCCTACTCATTTGTGCGCATACATTTTTAATGCACATTTTTAGAATTTATGCACATCTTGGCATTTCCATCCAGGAATTTCCATTCCATTTTTTTAATGCGATATTCTGAAATGTGCATAAAATAGATAGAAACATAGCTATTGAATTGAACGTGAATTTTAGAAATAGAAAGACTGAAATAGTATTATCTTGTAAAACATACTTCAGTACTTCAAAAAATATTTCTGTAGTGCAGTAAGACACAAACATATCTTCTCTTGAAAGTGATTTCTCAGACTTTAATCATTTATTTTAATGCTCTTTATCTATTTGTGTATTAGATATATCAATTTCAATCCATATCTTTAAAGAGTTTTTTTTCATCTTACATAACCAAACTTTACAGTTTTATTCCTCTCTATATTCTAAAGGTTTGTTCATGTATCATTCACACTGATTTTATTCCTAAAAACATGTATTTCTTTCAAGGCACAGGAAAATCTAATCAGTTCTTAAACATTTTATATCATGAAGTAACTACAGTAACACATGAAAAGCATATTTCTTGTAGCTTTTCTTTATTACTAATAACTGTTGCTCTTCAGCTTTTAATAAAGGACTGGTTCACTCACAACTGATCATTTTGTCATCATTTACTCAGCCTCATGCTGTTCCACAAGATTGTTTTCTTATTAAATACAAAAATGTTGGGAACCAAACAACACTCACACTCACACACACACACACTTTTTATCTCACAATTATGATGTTTTTTCTCCCAATTTCAAGTTTATATCTCTCAATTTGTATTTACAGAATTGCGAGAAGAAAGTCTGGATTGATGGGGGGAAAAAAAGTCGCAATTGCGTTTTTTATTCTGTGAAGAAAATAAGCTTCCTTATGATGAAGATGCTGTGGGAAAAATGAATAAAATGTAACAGTCTAGAGCAATAGTTTATGGTTTTTATTAAAACTATCTCGTAAATACGACTCGACAGGCCGTTCTTGTCCAGTTTCCGAATAGGAATCGTTTTTACGATATTTCAGATAGCACATGAATGCAGCAAACATTGTACACACAATATGTTGAGATAATTGGTTTAATTTTGCTCCAGATGAAGCTGGAATATGACATCTGTGCTAAAGGTGTTAATGGTAAAAACGTTGGCATGCTTTAGCATGTTGCTAACATGTTTAAACAAGTTGCTAGAATGTTTAAACAGACTGTTGAATGCTAGCATGTTGCATTTTTAGCATGTTGCTAATATTTTTTAACATGTCGCTTGCATTTTTAAATGTTTTAGCATGTTGCTAACTTGTTATAACACATTTCTAACATGTTTTCACAAGTCACTAACATATTTTAGCATGTTTCTAACATGTTTTGCCAATTGCTAGCATGTTTTGACAAGTTACTAACATGTTTTACCATGTTAACATGTTTTAGCTAGCTGCTAGCATGTCATTGCCAACAAGCTTTAACATATTGTTAACATGTTTTAACATGTTGCTAGCATGTTTTGCCAAATGCCAAAATGTTGTTGCCATGTTTTAACACACTGCTAACATGTTTTGCAAAGTTGCAAGAATGTTTTTACAACTGCTAGCATGTTTTAACATATTGTTAATGTTTTAGCACATTGCTAACATATTTTAACATGTTGCTAGCATGTTTTGCTAGCATGGGACAAACAAGCCAAAAGTGAAAATTCTGTCATCGTTTACTCACCCTCAAGTTGTATGAGTTTCTTTCTTCTGCTGAACACAAAAGAAAATATATTTTGAAGAATGTTGGTAACCAAACAATTGACGGTAGCCATTAACTTCCACGGTATGGAAAAAAACACTATGGAAGACAATGGGTACCATCAACTGTTTTGTGATATTTAATCTTATGCGATACCTGTTTATGTTTTAAGTTAAGTGTAAACAATTATTTTTTACACATTTTTTCAGAATTTCTGTCATTTTGCAACTTAAGCAAATACATCTTGAATTAATAATGCTTTGATGCTTGTACTGGAAAACAAGACAGAGATACTGAGGAAGAACCTAATTTTTGCAGCGTGCTTCTCTTCATAATCCAATTCTGACGCAATCAATCGCTCTCATTCATCATATAGAGGCACTTTCACCATCCGATCAATGAGTCAGAGTATCTGCTCTAGTCTCTTGACCTGACGATGGAGAAATGTGGGTCAAACACAATGATTCTCAATGGGATTTGAGAAGATGATTCATAACCGTGAAGTCTGGACTTAAAATAACACACGACGCGTCACCAAACCCAAACACAACACATATCAGAATCAGTCCAGAGAGACACAACACACCTTCACTGAAGGTCAACAACAGATCCGTCCTACAAAGACAAAACAAATGTGTCAGGAAGAAAAAGAATAGACAAACGGCGCCAGCTAAAAGACTCCACAAATATAACTAACCTGAGATTTCTAGCTGTTTTTAGGATGAGGGAAGTTCTCGTTTTAAGCCCCGCCTCTAAGGACCAGATGATGTCATCAACATCTCTGGACTGATTTTCCCAGGAGAAAAAAAACTTGAAGCTAAAATGCCTAAAAGCTTTTAAAGCATACCATCTACAGTATTTACACTGAAAAAAATTGGTGTAGAAACAATTCACACTGTAAATTTCACAAACAGTTACAAATAAGAAACATTAGCTATGTTTTCATCCAAATATGCAAATTTAATTTATGCGCATCACATAAAACATTTGCGAATAAAGCACCGTTTCCATCCAATGAGTCAAAGAGAACAAAATCATCACTTCTCGATAAAGTGGCACTAAATATCACTAAGAAAAGTAGGCGAAGCCACTAAATATAATAATTTTCATATATGATATATTACTTGTGCCTCAGAGCGAGCAGACGAAACACAATAAATGCAGTTGATGCTTTCGGAGATGGATGCTGCTGTTTGGAAATGCAGACTTTTAAGACAATTATACAGAAATACTTAGATGACAGATTTGCTCAGGCATTTCAGAACGAACATAACAACATTTCAGATGCTGTGCAACGAGATCGGTCCGCTGGTTAGTCAGGTCGCATCGTGCAAACTCACTTGACTTTTTTGATGCGCATGGTGAAATTTATTGTTTTGGATTGAAAGGATAAAAAGTTAATCCTACTCATTTGTGCGCATACATTTTTAATGCACATTTTTAGAATTTATGCACATCTTGGCATTTCCATCCAGGAATTTCCATTCCATTTTTTTAATGCGATATTCTGAAATGTGCATAAAATAGATAGAAACATAGCTATTGAATTGAACGTGAATTTTAGAAATAGAAAGACTGAAATAGTATTATCTTGTAAAACATACTTCAGTACTTCAAAAAATATTTCTGTAGTGCAGTAAGACACAAACATATCTTCTCTTGAAAGTGATTTCTCAGACTTTAATCATTTATTTTAATGCTCTTTATCTATTTGTGTATTAGATATATCAATTTCAATCCATATCTTTAAAGAGTTTTTTTTCATCTTACATAACCAAACTTTACAGTTTTATTCCTCTCTATATTCTAAAGGTTTGTTCATGTATCATTCACACTGATTTTATTCCTAAAAACATGTATTTCTTTCAAGGCACAGGAAAATCTAATCAGTTCTTAAACATTTTATATCATGAAGTAACTACAGTAACACATGAAAAGCATATTTCTTGTAGCTTTTCTTTATTACTAATAACTGTTGCTCTTCAGCTTTTAATAAAGGACTGGTTCACTCACAACTGATCATTTTGTCATCATTTACTCAGCCTCATGCTGTTCCACAAGATTGTTTTCTTATTAAATACAAAAATGTTGGGAACCAAACAACACTCACACTCACACACACACACTCACACACACTCACACTCACACACACACACACACACACACACACACACTCACACACACTCACACTCACACTCACACTCACACACTCACA